TTTAAGATACTCCCTTTTTTTATTTTTGAGCAATTTTGTCATTTCGTTCTTTGAGGTTCGGAAGTATTCCAGATTGTCTTCGCTAGGATTATTTAGAGCTTTTAATTTAGCGGCTTTTCTTTTTTTACACATGTTCAAGCAATCTTCATCAAACCACGGTTTGTTATTCTTATTTTCCTTTTTTCCTAGACACGAGTTACCGACCGCTTTAATATTATCCCTGATCTCTACCCATAACTTGTCAATATCCTCGTGGTCCTCGTCAGGAAGTTCTAAAGCTTCAAACCTATTCTTAACATCTAGCTCGAATTGGGTTCTAATTGATGGATTTTTTAATTTTTCCAAATTAAAATTCTCAAAATCCAAACGGTTTTCTTTTTTCTTTTTTATATTTAGTTTTTATCGAAGTTTCGCAATTACTAATTCATGATCCGACCCACATTCTGCTCTGTGATAAGACCGTACATTAATTATACTGCTTTGCCAGTTATGTTGTATCAAGACATGATAGATTTGATTTCGTGTTTGCGATTCCGGTGATGTCCAAGTATATTTATGAATATCCTTATGTTTAAACGTAGTACTTTTAACTATCAGCAAAGTTTATCAGACGGATCCCATTATCATTACTATATTCCTGCAAACTTTCTTTACCAATCGTCGGAACATAAACTTCTTCTCTACCCACCTTTGCGTTCGCGTCACCTACAATTGTTTTCATGGAGTTTCGCTGAAGTTTATCATTCGAGTTTATCGTAAAATTCACATTTGACTTCATCCTCACTGTCTTCGGTCGGACAATGTATGTTTATTAATGCGATTTTAAACCAACGTCCCTGAAATGTAGCTACCGAAATTCTATCACTAAAGAATTGTACGTCCCTCAAAGCGGATAGTAATCTATTTCTAATTAGAAACCTGGTACCTAAACAATGATTCCCACTTCCTCCGTACCAAATAGTGTACTTTCCTTCCCTTATCGAGCCCTCCCCTGGCCAGCGAACCTCTTGCAGAGCCACTACATCCAAATTGTACCCAATAACCTCATTCACAACCGATTTTAACCCCCCTACTGTGTTTAAATTCCTTACGTTCCATGTACCAATATTCAAATCCCTATTTTTTATCTTGTGCCATAAATCCCCTAAAGCAGCTGAATGGGAGACTAATTTACCTCCGGATAATGAGTGTTTTACCTTAGGAAGATCCATGACTATTTGTGGTAAATGGTGAACTTAAGATATATGAGTAAGGCGTTCAATTCTACGTTACACCCTCCAGCAAGTCTGGTGGGCCCCTGCCTTCAGCAAATCTGGAGGGCCCCTCTCATTGCTGGTCAGCGAGTCCAACGGACTTAGCTGGGAGAAACTTCCAAGGAATTTCCACTGACCATCCCCACATCCGCCACCCGTGGGACGCTCCCCATACGCGATAATGAGCCAGCGCGAGGACTATATTAATATATGTTATTATAAATATTTGCATGGTTTACTTTTTATTAGTCACTCAATGGCATGTCAACTGGTTATTTTGGTAGCATTTAAAAAAAAATTGTTCATTTGATTTTATATTTTTGCTGCCTAATGTCCACACATTGAATCTCAAAGTTAACGATAGCTTTAGTTGATATTCAACTCCATTTTGATAAACAAATATATACTTATAAATATTTCTTGCATACTGAACGAGTGATCACCCTAATCAGTTCTCAAACAGCATGTAGTCACCTGTAATGTTTGACCCAAACTTGATCAATCATGGTTTTTGTTTTAGACTTTTCCTCACTTACTTTTAAATTGGGTACTTGCAATTATTTTTCAATTTTTATTTATCAGTGAAGATTAAAGCATAGCAACAAAAAATGCAATCCTAATCTTATATCCCTTCTTTATCAGTAGAGTTCTATTGCAGCTCAAATTTATGCGATTTTTTTTTCATACAAGTATATAATTCTATGATACTATAGTCCTTATTTAGTGTAATGTCCCCAAAATGTGCCTTCAAACGAGAAATTAAAATTTTTTGAAGATTTAATTTCTTCATTAGTTAACAATTTTATGATAATAAGTTGTTCAAAAGATGAATCTTCTGCTCTGCCATACTTGTAGTGAGGAAAGAAGGAGGTCACTAACTGAACTTGTTTCCCACTCCTCAACCTCCCACTCTATTGTCAGGCTCAGAACTTCGTGCTAAGCAAAATAACAAAGTTACCATTTATATTTGGGTCATCAATCAACATCTTCAAATCAAAATTTATCAGTTTATAATTAATTATATAAGCAAAGCATAACAGTATTAAGAAGAATTTTTAATGGGTTACAACATGGAATAACTCCTAAAAAGTACTGCTTATTATAAGAAAATAAATTTAAGAGTGGGAAGTTATCTGAAGACAATTAGCAGGCATTTATTCGTGCAAAATGGCATATTAATTAATTAAAGAAGTTTTAATTACTTTTTTTGTAACATTTATACAATTATTACTTAAATTGGCATGCCTCTTCATGCTTACTTAATTGGTAATTCTTTAAATGGTATTAACTTGATGAACAATGAGACATGCCTCAAACTACAGACAGCATCAGAAACAGAAACAATCTCTTTCACAACTTCCTAAACAGCTCTTCTCAACTCAATGCAGTTTTAATCTTTCTATATCATCATATGAAATATCGTTTTGTTTTTTCTTTTATATTTTATTTTAATATAATGTAATTTTCTTATTCAAAATCTAGATTCATAACTTGTTTTTATCCTTCTATAATACAATATTGTGAAAGCCTTGCCACTCTACGATTTTGCCACATCAATATATGAAATTCAGATTTTGTTACATTCTATTTAGGTCTTTTTTTGCATGATTTCTAACAAAATTTGTGTATCTATGATTCTTTCAAGAAAGGTTTTATAAACAGCCAGTAAACCATTTCAACGTTTTACGTTTCAGACACCAAGGATCAAATTGGGTTCGGTATCCGTCTGTCTGTGGTCTGTCTGTAGTCAAATCAATGTGACGAGCATATCACCTAGTACCGTTCATCCGATTTTCATGAAATTTTTAGGGATTGTGCGTATTGGTGCCTAGATGGTCCCATATCAATTTTATCAAATTCCACCAAGTACTTCCACTTATGCACGCGCAAACGTACTTTTTTAAATATACCAATATTTCAGAAACAGCTTGTTCAATGTGGCTCAAAGTTGGATAAATGGTAGATATTGGTGAAAAAATAATGTATTGTAAATTTTATTGAATTATGTCCGCTATGTTCACTTATATATGCGTAAATGTGTTTTCCTCGATACAAATATATCTCTAAAACCGCCTGTTCGATTTGGCTCAAATTTGGAGAGAAGTTAGGGATTGGTAAACATATAATCAAGTATATATAAATTTTATCAAATTCCGTCCACTACTCCAAAAAAAAAACTTCCGCTTTCAGATCAGGAAATTGATTATTTGACACGCCTATAGTTTGAAAACTGCACGTTCGATTTGACCCAAACTTAGAGGAAATTTGGAGAATTCTATAGAAATTACCTGGTATCAGTTTCTTTGAATTCCATTAAATAATTAAAATTAATATAAATAATTGTTAACAATACTATAGCTGCAAAATGTGGAAGGCATTGATCATTTAGAGTGGTAGTTAGGTTAACACAATATTTTTATGGGATCATAAAATTTTAGATTTTATTCAAAAAGTTAATTTATTATGTATTTTTTGATTGATTCCAAACGTTACTGACATGACACTTACTGCCGTTACTTAGATTTCGTGTAATTTTCAGTAAATTTAAATTAATTTTTATTCTGACTTTATATTAAAAAAAAGTCTTATTTGTGATCGTGTTTATTTCTATTTGAGTTGAACTAACTCGTAGCAGTCTCGATTTCCTACTTAAACATCAACGTTAACTATAATATAAAAATACGTGTGATTATACTATAGTAATAAATCATAAAGAAACAATTAGTTTATATGCTCTTCTGTAACATTCAATTTTACATACAGTCTTTTGCACTAACAGTGATATTAATGTTCAGTATGCACTGGAATTTTTTTTTAATCACTGATCATCAAATATGCAAATTCAGAACTCTTTTACATTTTAGTATTCAATGAACCAAAATATCAAACCCATAAATGTTGAGGGATTACTGAATTTCCGAAAACAGCTTCTCCTAGAGATTTTATTCTCATACAAAAAATGTTAGACCTTGTAATATAGATATTTTTTAGCCAATGAGAACGGTGAGGAAGCTATACTGACTTCACTTGGCAGATTTTAAAAAGTATTTAACTGTTTTAATGAATAATTTTTGGTCAAAGCATATAAAAATAATAAACTTGACCAATATGTATAGCTAAAAATGTAAGTACACTGCATCTTTTGCGAGGGATTTTTTTTAGATAGTTTTTATTATAATATTATCAAATCAAAATAAAGTGATAGCAACCAGCCAGCCATATTGATTATTCATTAGCTGTTTTGGTGTGTTAAAGGTCAGGAAACAGAATTCTAAAATACAATAAATTAGATATTGTTAAAGATTAAAGTAATATAGTGCAAACATATTTCTGATATAGTATCTAGCACTAGTAGTATACTTTTTTGACTATATATATACATATATATTTTATAATGAAGTATTTAAATGAAACATTCATAATTATTTTAATCTAAACTAAAATCAGTTTTAATTACATAATACTACAAAATGGAAATTTCATAGATTTCTACTAAGAGTGCAGTGGATAAGTCAGTTTTCACTGCATCTTCCTCATAATAACAATGATGCTACATAAATATACCTATTACAGTGGGGAAACCTACGAAACAATGGAAAAAGTACAGAGGAATTATTCTAGAAAAACTCAACTCAAGTATGTCGTGATATCAAATAAAAAAATAACTAAAAAAATAAAGATAGAAAAACAGGGTGGAAGAAGTGAAGAAGACAGGTTGGTTAAATAAAGCAATTTTAGGGATTCTACCTGGACTACCTGCTTCAGATGCACGCTTGAGGACGAGCTCGTAAACTCCGGAGAGTCTGTTTGCTTCCGTGTTGCGATAAGCTCCGGAGAAGAGGTGCTTCAATGACCTAGGACCGGTTCTTGCATCTCTACCATAGATAACCATACTCAAGTCTTTCGTTATGATAGCAGGTCTTCCACAGTTCTCCAACTATAAAAAATTATATAATATATAATAAATGATGCCTAAGGTGAAGTTTATGGTAGAATTGTGTTGACCATTTGAAATCCAATAACCAGGAGGTTCAAATGTTGGATAAGAATTCTTTTCAGACCCTGATTCAAGGTTTGGAAGGGTTTCAAGTCAGACAGCCTGGATGGGTGAATGGAAACAGCGACACAGCATCCTTATACAGAGTAAAAAAAAAGATTATGGTTAATATTATATGGCAAAGTTATGATAATGGACTATTTAAAATACCTTGGAGAAATAATTACTGGAAATGGGACAGATAAACCAATGATGGAGACAAAAAAACAAAAATTAGAACAACTAAATTTTAAAACAAAAGATGTATACAATAAAAAGAATCTCTTTATGTATGCAAAATTGAGGCATTATAATAAGGTTATAACTACAAATATAACTGCAATAAAAAACATACCCAGGATAAAGAAAAAGATTTTAATGAAGGTTTATGATTCAGGTTTCATAAGCAGATCAAACAAAGAAATATACAAGTTGGAAGACCAGAGTAACAATAAAAAAAATAAAGGCTAAAATTCTGCATACATGGTCTGAATTAACCAGCCAAGTCTTAATTAATAGATTTTTGATAAACTTTGTAACTATAAAAGACATGAAGAGAGAGTTCAAAAGATTCAATATTGCAGAAGAAGGTTGTCTGGATAGGAAAAAATAGAGACAATTTTTTTTTTTTTTTTTTTGAATTGGGGATTCCAGTGAGGAAAAAGTAAAATCTCAGCAGAGGAAATTGAACTAAGGAAAAAAGAGCCAAGCAGTCAAAATTAATGAAATATACAAACCTTACAACAGTCCAGACTTTTCCCCTATAATTAAAGTTTGTTTGCAGCCTTGAAAGAATCACATAGAGGAGAATGATTTGAAAGCAATGAAGAATTCAAAAAGGACATGTGCAATTAGCTGGCAATTCTCTCTCAAATGTTTTAAGAATAGAGAATACATTAACTTGCAACCTACCCAACTGGCAAAACTATGAGAGCAGATAGATCAAGCAGGAGATAACTTTGAAAAGGGCTGGAAATATTGTTTGTTTATAGCATTAATCAATAAATGTGTAGCAGCACTACTGGCTCCGATCATATTAATAAGTGCCTCAGTGATAATATATCACCGTATGGTATATAAAAATCCTATCTAATAGAGTAATCGTGTTAACTAAATAATTGTATCACTTTTCTTGTAAAATTACTCAAACTTTTTTTTTGTTTATTTAATTAAATTTACAACTGTATACAAATACAACTAGTAAATATGCACAAATTAGAAATAATGACATGAACGGGCTTGAAGAGATACTACCCAGTGGTAGCACTCCCTAAATAATTCAAGGTAAGAAGATCACGAGAAGCCTAGGAGAATTATCAGGAATCGAGGAAGAAACAAGTGGATTTGGAAGGGACTGGAGTTTATCATGAAACGATAGATATCTGGCACTCACACATAAAAACACTGTTAATATAATATAAGAGAATAATTCCATTGCAAGGCTGAGCTCTAAATCCTGTAATTATAGTTGATAATTCGTTTACAACCATATTATTATTGTTAAAATAAATCTATTTTCCAAGTGAATTTACTTTATCTGTTTACGTTATAGTAGCAAATAGGTAGTAATTAGTGACCCCAATAGTTATTAGTAATTTAATTAATTTAGTTTCACTTCAAGAATAAATTAATTCAATTAGAATATATTCACTTGGTTCAATTAAATACATAGATTTATCTTTGTAAGGCAATTTAAATTAATTAGACCCAGAAATTGCAGCTTCTATACCTACAGAAAGAAAAATCTCTAATTTTTGAAAAACTGAGCCATAAATGTGGTTTTGTCACTTGCTGATGCTCAATGCTCACAGAGGTCAATCTAATAGCAGAAATTCACCTTTGGGAGGATCAAGAGTACAAAGAAAAGAATCTAAGCAGGAAAATTGGCTCTGCTTTTATCATTTAAAATTAAAGATAAAGGAAAAAAATGTATAAGACATTCCATTTGGGATTCTGAGAGCAAACAAACCCTGAAAAACTAGGGGGCAGATGGAGATGGCATTGTACAGTTTTGCTAATGCTCAATGCTGCCTGTTCATGAAAAATAGAAAGTCCAGGCAACATTTTTTATAGACATTTGAGCAGCATTATCGGTAATAACACCTGCTAAAAAAAAGATTAGAACCAAAAACATATTCTTTATATGCCGTTAATGGTACAAAAATTAAAACATACGGTGAAGTGGAACTTCAGTTAGATTTTGGTCTCAGGCGACCTTTTAAATGAACCTTAATCAGAGCCGACATGCCCAAACCTATTATTGGAGCAGACTTTATGTTCCATTTCAATTTGTTGGTAGACCTGAAGAGGCAATGGCTTATCGATAATATAACACATCTATCATCTAATGGTAGAGTTAGTAATGAAGTCCCCTCTTCAATATCGTCAGTACCTGATATACATATTTTCACCGATCTATTCAAAGAATTTCCTACTATTAGCAGACCATCATCAAGAAAGCAAGCAGTAAAGTACTTAACGGAACATTATATTGATACTACAGACAAACTGGTGAACATAAAAGCATGAAGACTTGCTCCTGAAAACTACAGAGCTGTCAAAGAAGAATTCCAAAAGATGGTAAACCAAGGTGTTTGTTGCTCCTCCAAAAGTCAATGGGCCAAAAGTACTCCATGTCGTCACGAAGAGGGATGGTGCCGTTCAACCCTGTAGTGACTTCAGGCAGTTGAAAGCTCAAACCATTCCTGACTGCTATGGAACCCCAAATTTCATGGACATAAGGAATAATCTCTACAGGAAGAACATATTTTCATGCCTTGATCTAGTATGGACTTATTATGGAATTCTGGTGAGAGAAAAGGATATTCCCAAAACCGCCATAATTACTCCATCTGGCCTATTTTAATTCATGAGAATGTATTTTAGTTGATAATCAAGGCAGAGAAGGGCGAATTTGGAATGTGGTGGTGAAAAGGCATCTAGCCGCAAGCTGACAAGATACAAGTCATCGTAGATTATCAGAAACCCAGTGATGTAAAATCATTCAGACGATTTTTAGAGGTGGTCAACTTTTATAGATCTTGTACCTCCAATGCAGCCGTAAATCAAGCTTCACTCAATCGCTATTTGCATGGCCCCAAGAAAAATGATAGGACGAAGCAATCTAGCCTTTGAATGTTGTAAGGATGATTTAAAGAACGCAGTGCTCTTAGCACATCCTAAATTATTATTATCACGGCACTACAACTCGGTGACGAGTCTTGGCCATCTCCACCAGCTTCCTCCAGTCATCTCTGTTCTGTGCGGCCATCATCCAGCTCCTGACTCTCAGGACATCCCTTGAATCTCTTGCCACACTGTCTGACCATCTTATTTTTGACCTCCCTCTTCTTTTTGTGCTGTAGAGAGGTTCTGTCAGGATCATCCTAGGGATTGCTTCACTATCCATCCTTGCCATATGGCCAGCCCATCTCAATCTTCCAAGCTTCATCCTAAGAACGACATTTTGGTCATTAAAAGTTGACCAAATTTCGGCATTTGTCCGTCTTCTCCAATTTCCATCAATCTGTACTCCTCCAAATATTCTTCAAAGAATTTTTCTCTCAAATATTAGGAGGTCTTGCTCAATTTTTTTAATCATCGTCCATGTTTCTGAAGCATAGAGCAGGATTGGGCGGATTAGTGTTTTATGCCGGCCATCTAATACGCAAATGCGATGCTGTAGTGGCCTTTTGAGTTCATCATTCGATGTCTGGAAATGGTGAACTGCTGAATATATGACTAGAAGTTCACGATCACAAGCTAGGTTTTTTTTTCAATTTCATTGACTTTAAGACAAGACCTTAAAATAAAAATCTAAATGAATCCACCTATTGTTGTCCTTTTGTTATAATACTGTCCTCATATGGTTACTTGACGCATCACAGACAACAGATAATTCAGCCTGGTATTTAGGATGTGCTACTGAAACTGCTGCTTGATCAAATTGATTGTTTTAAACTGGACATAGTTGGCATCCAGGAGATCAGATGGATTGGTCAGGATACTCATTGAAAATAGACAACACACCATACACTATAGCTGCAACGATACCTTCTATGAATATGGAATAGGATTTGTAGTTAGAGAGCAATATAGGCAACTGGTCATTGGATTTAAGCCTGTGAACTCGCGTATCTGTGTGCTAAGGATTCATGGGAAGTTTTAGAATTATAGTATTATTAGTGTGCATGCTCTGACAGAAACTTCGAGTATGGAAGATAAGGACACCTTCTATGAACAGCTTGAACAAACCCTTCATCAGTGCCCAAGGTAGGACATGACAATAATTGCTGGAGACTGTAATGCAAAAATAGGGAAAGAAGAGGTATACATCCCAATCATTGGCAAACATAGTCTCCATGATCAATCTAATGATGATGGAACTAGGCTTATTAATTTTGCCAGTTTTCCACTGACAATCGTTATCTCAAAGGAGATCGAAACAATGTTGCAGATGTATTATCAAGTGTGGAGATATTGGATCTTGGAAGTGATCTCGAAAGGCTTCATAGATTGCAAATGGAAGAAATTCTGAATTGGAAGAGCTTAGACAGCAATCTAACTTATGAACAGCAATAACCTCTTCATTTAACCTTGCAATTCAAGTCTTTAAATTTCCCAGGAACTGATAAGGCAATAATCTGCGAAACTAACAAACCCTAGGCTCATATATACATACCTCGGTCCATGCGCCAGGAAATATTTAATGATATGCACCAAACATGCCATCCAGACCGCAGAGCAATGTGAAGACTCCTATCTCATAAATACTTTTGGCCAGCAATGAACAGAGATGTAGCAGAGTGGTCAAGATGTTGCATTGGATGTCAAAAAGCGAAAGTAGTCAGACATACTGTCTGTTACATCTCCTTGAAAATTTAAACATTCTGCTCGATTTGAATACGTCCTATTAGATATAATTGGACCTTTGACCCCATCCTAGGTTATAATAGCAAATAGGTAATAAATGTATAAAAAATAATTATTGTTTATATTTGTTCCACCCTCATACATAGGAAATAAATGTATAAAAAATAATTATTATTTATATTTGTTTCACCCTCATACATAGGTAATAAATGTATAAAAAATAATTATTATTTATATTTGTTTCACCCTCATACATAGGTAATAAATGTATAAAAAATAATTATTGTTTATGTTTGTTCCACCCTCATACATAGGTAATCAAAACAAAACACATATTTGTTACCCTGTTGGCATTACAGACCTTATAGATCTTTTGCTCCCTTAACCAGCCTTCTCCATCTCAATCCATCTTGGACTATTTCTATTGAAGTATTTATTGTTACATAGAGACTTCCTGGTGGACTGTTCAGAGCTACTAAGAAGCAACCACATCCATTTTAACCTGCTTGTCTTCATATCATGAGATATTGATTGATCACTATCTGTAAACAGTGTTTTATTGGTGCTCCTCCTCCATGCAATAGTACTCTAATTACCAATCAGGTTATAGTGCAGAGGAGTTTTCCCTCAAATTGCTCAATAATTCTTTGAAGGACGCTGGTTGGGGTCGAGGTCTTGCAGCTGTAAATTAAAACTGTCTTTGCCATAAAATAGCTCACCTGCATTGTCATTGCACGTCCTTAATTTCAGGTTTCTCAGAATTTCAACACTTTTGTAAAAATGAAAAAAAGCTCTGTTTGCAGTTTTAAATCTATTGGTTCTTTATTGAGGTAATTATGGAGCCAAGGTATTTGAATTTGTATACTCACGGGAACAATTTCCCTTCTATGCAGATGCATTAACTTTGTTTACTTAATACATTAAATTTACCTATAAAATTAGAAATATTACTATAATTTATATAGAAAATATGTGTTAATGAAAGTCACCTCAAGATAAGCCGATATAGTCATGAAGATCTGCTCTCCACTGGATACTCTATTGAGAAGTGGAGAGTTATGCAAAGAGCTGTCCCAGGCAGCTTCGAACCTAAACATGCAACGATCATCACCAGGCAGCTGGACAATCTCACCTGGGAACAGTCCCAATGATAATACGCAACTATCATTATCCTCTTCTTCTGGTTCAGGTGAAGTTCGTATTCGTCCTATTGTAAAAAAAAAAAAAAAAGCTGTTATGTTTGTCTTATTTAGATAAAAATTCATGACACCATAACCTTTATGTAACAACAATTTCATTCTTAATATTGTCATTCAATAGAGAATAAATTTTACTGTTTTACTGTATAAAATTACTTTATATCGATTATTTTATTTAATTTTTGATAATGAAGTTTAATCAGTATAATAATTATTGATAGAAAAATTATTATCTTAAATCGACTTCATTATGCTTGAAAGTTTGTTTCTTTACTTCATTTATAGTGACTACCTATTCTGCCATAAATACTGTTACAAAAGTTGAAGTTTGTTTACATCATTGGGTATTATTTAGATAATCCTTACCTCTATTAGGTTATTTTCTTATCACAATTAGTTTGTATTTTTCTTTCATTCAGTTAACATGGAGTGGGATGATAAAGAAAACCGAATAGCTATGATCGCCTTATACAAAGTTGGAAAATGTAGGTCAGATATTTTAAACAATAAAACCTTTGGGTATCAGCCATATGTTCATGTACCACACTATAAATAAATATAATGAGACCCTATCTGTATATGACAGACTTCGACCGGGACGTTCCCGCACCGTGAGAACGGCAAATGCAGAGAGAGCAGTTGCTGTTCGAATCAGAAGAAATCCAATTCAAAAACAACAAATCATGTCCCGGGAAATAGGAATCTCTGTCAGATCAATGTCTCGCATAATAAAAAATGACCTTAGGACGGTTGCATTTCAAAGAATGACAGGACAAAGGCTAACCACTTCCCTAAAAAAAAATTAGAGTGGATAGATGCAAAGTGCTCCTTGGCCATTACACCAATGGTCTTCAACGAAAGATTTTGTTTAGCGATGAGAAAATTTTAATCGCTAAAATTATCGTGTGTACGCACACAGCTCTAAAGAAGCCAAGGAAGTCATTGGAAGAGTGGAAAGTAATCATCCTTCCTCGGTGATGGTTTGGGTTTGATGGCATCACAAAGCTCCATTTTTGTGAAAAAGGATTTAAAACAGTCACTAAAAATTATCAGAATATTTTGGAACCTGTTGTCAAGCCTCTGAATGATACTCTGTTTGCTGGAAGTCATTAGGTTTTACAGCAGGATTCCGCTCCAGCTCACAAGGCCAGGTCAACTCAGCAGTGGCTTCAAAGGAACATTCCAGAGTTCATCTCTGCCTCGGATTGGCCCTCAGGAAGCCCTGATGTCAACCTACTAGATTATCGGCTTTGGTCCGAACTGGAGAGGATGGCATGCCACAGAGGACACCTTACCTTGGAAAGCCTCAAACAATCTCTAGTCTGGGCAGTTGAGCACTTTCCTCAAGAAGTGCTGCGTGCTGACTGGCCACGGATATTAAATGCCTTGTTAAGGGAAAATGGGGACATTTTAAGTAATTTCTTTTTTGTTTACTCTCTATAGATATACATTTTATTTTCTAATAAAGTTTTTGAAAAAATTAATTTTTCTGTTGAAATCTGTATGTATTTCCTTGTAACAATATTTATGACAGGATTAGATATAGTTCTGACTTACCAACAACAAGTTCTTTAATTTCTTTCCATTTCAGTTCTGGAGCTTGTTCATGGACAATCGTAACTCTTATCCTCCTTTGGATGCCTTGGTGAAGAAGGAAAAGACCTCTGCATGGCAGATCGTCACTGTGCTCGACAACTGCTGGTACATACTCACCGTTCGGAGCTGATGAATCAAATAAAAATATAAATTTTAAAAGATGTATACAATTTTAAATTAAATATTCTCTTGGCTAGAGTGAGAAAATGAGTAGGTTATTTTTAGAGTACTATCAACAGTTATTAGAGTGAGCTTTAAGCATTTTTATATTAGTCAGTTTGTGGAGTTAGTATCTAAAAATTATTGAGAACTCCCAATCCGTATGTTAGAGATTATATCGATTGCCTCAGATGTATTCTTCTAAATGACTATGCTTATTTTTTGCATTATTTCAATGTAAGCATTTTTATCTTTAAGCAACAGAACTGTCTAATCACATTTGTTCACAAATTCGTTCACAATGAAAAAGAGAGAGAGAGACGGCCATAACAATAGCACTTCAGTTCTCACTTGTACATTGGTAGCTCGATGGTGAAAGACTAGTGATTTATAAAAAAAATTATAGAAAAGAAAATCTTATGAAATAGTTTACAACCATAACATATTTGAGAAAATCAAATACTCATTAAAAAATCAAGAGCATGAAATGTCACATGATTTGTGAATGAAAATTTAATAAATTAATTTTAATATTAGGGTTTGAAATAGTTCTTCATGAAAGTAAATAAGGATTAAAAAAAAAAAAAAAAAATGAGATCCTTCATCCACTCCTTGAATAATAGAACCCAAACAATGAATAATAATACTTCATCATAAAGGACAAATCCTTCCTATTTTAGCTTTTTACTCTTAATCTTTCTTATTAGCTAATATAGGTCAAATCTTTTCCAGTTTGCAACTCCTCATTTTGGAATCCCAGAAAATAATATTGAGGAAAAAACAAATAATATTTAGAAAAAAAACTTTAAAAAGATGGACATTGCAATTTGTTGATTTATCCATCATCATGAAGATTATCAGGAATGACCAACTCTCATATATATGTATTTGTACAATAATGAAGTAACTAATTAAATTACCTAATTCACATATTTCAAACCAAACTAAAATATCATATTTGGCATGGACGTGTGATGTACAAGGAAGAGGAAGTTCTCCAAACTTTGGAGACCGAACAGGCTGGCTTATTGGGATGGAAGGTGGAAGCATCCTTTTAGGAGGTTGTCGCACACTAAAAAAATATTTAAGTGAAAATAAAAACTATAAATATTTTTGAGCTCAATACATATATATATATATATATATATATATATATATATATATATATATATATATATGAGTAAAACTTACCCGTTATTACCCTCTTGCTTAGAATCGTTATGTAAAGGATGCTGCTGGTAGTGACCGAATATTTCAAAAACAATTGGTTGAACCCTCATGTAATCAAGAAAAGATTTAGTGACTGTGACAGTGATCTGAAACAAAATATTAAATAATTTTACACATAATCGTGGGCGAAGGAATGATGATCCTACCCCATGTACTTTAATTAGGAATGGTCACATGGTTTTCCAGGACATCAGTAAGTTTGGTCCTCAGGTGTTTGCTGACTCTGAGCAGCCATAATTCATGAATCTACACCAATAGGGTACTTGCATGGAAAAAAGTCTCATACACTTGAACTGCAATAGAATTCATGTGATAAGATATGTATTTAAGATTGATATTATATAATGAAAATAGGTTCGTATTTAGTTAAAAACTTGAAATAACGATGCATTCGGATGGTAGAGTGGGGATAGGAGTTGTCGACTTATTCCACCTTAGTATGACATACACGTCTGCCATATACGATACTAGCAGGTACCTCTAAGCACTGCCTTTATAATCATGCATTATATAAAGCTAATAAAATACGTTTTAAAATAAATATTACTGTTCGGAGATGATAGGGTAAGAGAAAAACTGAAAGATATTTTTTGGATGGAAGTTCTGAAGCTGGAAACACTATTCTAGCTAAAAAGAATACAATACTATGAGCGATGGAAGCACCAGTTTCACTCTTTACTTGAGGGTGACGATAGAGTGGAAAACGATGTTGAAAAAATACCAGGAGAAGAACTAGAGCCTTCGGATGTAGGTAAGGTCCAAATGACCATAGATAAGTTAAATAACAACAGTGCTCATGAATCAGGTAACCTTCCTGCATACATGTTTAATATGCAGTACAACTTTCTCATTGACAAATGGCAAAGGAAAGAATTGTCGAGTGAGTGGTATGAAACTATTACAGTGGTATGAAACTATTACATGTCCAACATACAAAAAAAGGAGACTACTATAATGCCCTAATTACGACGGAATATCACTGTTCTTGAGTGCCTAGAAGATCTTCTCAAGGATTCTATTCAACAGACTCTTACCTTATGCTTGAAGAGAAATAGAGGTGAAGTTCTGTGATCGAGTCGAAGGAGGTAAGTCTGAGCAATTTTATACTCATAAAGGGCTCAGACAGAGAAACTGTGGTCGTTGTTGCCTAACTCCTTCTAGAAGTGTAGCGCCCATTAAGAAGAAGAATGCTATGAGCTAGGTATATGTTGAAACAGTGGTATCTCCCCATCACTTTTCTTTAACACTAATTATCATTGCAAATAATCATCAGAAAAATTTGGGACTAGTTGCATTTTTATTGTTATAACCTAATTTTCAATGATAGTTAGAAATTAAAAATTCATGCAAGTACCCGATTTTCATCTCCTGCCCTATATAATTATACTACAATTAAAGATCATTAAAATAAGCAACAGTTAAAAATTACTAATTAATTGATATGTTGACAGGAAAAAAAAAATCAAAAACCAATTTTATGAAAAAAATTTACTTACATTTTGAACGTGGTAAAATCCAAGAGGCTGACCTTTTCCAGTATTTTTAACTGGTTCAGTCGAAAAGGCTTCGTCATGACGATGCAAGAAGCTAAAAATTGTATATAAATAAAAATCATTATCAAATATTTGAATGAAAATTCTTATATAATTATGAAAATAATTTTACTTGAATTGACAAAATATATCCGAGTATTCTGCTGGTATTCCAACGGCTTGTAATACTGTCACCCTAAAAGTAAAATCTGACCCGATTGGTAAGTGTGCTGGTGGTTCATCCTCCCTTTCTTCGATGTCAGCGCAACTTTCTCCTTTCCCGCTGTCTCCATCTTCTATATCTGAAAAGTTAATGTTTCTGACAATGAATAAAAATATAGTCAGCAGTATTATTTTACGCAATCTGCGAGCTGTCACATTCATATTCATTAATAATAATAATAATGGTCTAGGGAACCCAAAGGTTCGACGATGATGCACCAATTACTCTCACCAATCAACCGAAGTGGAAATCCATAATGTAATCCCCTAGGACGATTACCAGCCAACAGATGGTGGGTCAAGCCCAACAATTTTAGAAGCTCATTTTATTTTATTCACCGCAATGTAATCACCTGAATTACATTTATCAGCAATAGTCCACACAATTCAGTGATGTGTAACCATATAAATTCTCCAGTAGATTCAATGTTCTTTAGATTTGGTCAATATTATATTTTCATAGATCCTTAAATCTTTTAAAAATCTATTACCACTTTGTTTAATGAAGGAAGAGCTATTCTTCCATAGCTGTCTATTGAGCGATGTGAACATTACACTTCTGGCATACCTACCTCAGTATTTCCCCAGTTCTGGCTTTCTTTTTTAACCTGATGGTTTTTCTTTAAAATGAGATAATGAAACGTTCCTCCTCAGAAAGGAGAGAGATTTTGGGTTCAGTAATTTGTAGGGAGTGATGTTTGAGGACCAACAATTGTGCAGTGAGGTGACCGGGCAAGGAGCATGCTCAACCGCCAGGTTTTCCCTCTTAATTAATTATTTAATAGTGGCTGGGCATACCCCGGGAGGATATTCTGATCACAGGATCTCGAACGACAGTTGATGAAAAATTACTTGGCATCAGCCAGATTTGAATCCAGGACCTTGAGCTCAGCAGTAGTATATATCATCCTAATATAAATATTAAAAATAATGAATATAATATTCAAAAATACCTTCTGGTTTGTCTGTTTGACCTTCAACAACTCTCTCAACTAGTGCTTTCTTTCCACGAGGTGGGTCTTGCAATAACTGTTCATCATGGAATGATATTCTAGCGGATTGTCTAACACCACTCGAATGGTCAATTGTTTCATCATCTAAAATAAATATTAATTTTAATCAAAGTTAATATTAAAAAAAAAAATAATAAAAAAATTAGCATTGAAATCCATAATTTTATATATTATAAAATACTTATAATCCGTTATTTTGAATAATAGGTCATTGGACTTTTTGAAATTAAAGATTTACTATTTGTTATTTTTATATTACATTTGCCACTGCATTATAATGCATCAAGCAAATGTTTTTCCATTTATTTTGTCTTCCTTTATTTTTAATATTTGTTTACATTGTCAGCAGGATATCTCTAGACCACTACCTTTTTAGTTGTTGTTGAGGCTCACCATGTAACAGAGAGAAAGAAAGAGAAAGAACGAGAGGGTTTAGATAATTGAGAGTAGAAGAATGAAATATTGTGTATGGTGTGATTTGAAATAGAACAAAGATTGTACAAAGTATTTTGGATTGTGTGGTTTGAATTATGTTTGTGTCTGTTTTTTGCGGAATCCCAAAGTTCTCCTCCGTATGTCTTAAAATATCTTAGTATGGTGGTGTGGATTAGTCTCTTGTTTATAAGTTGAGTGGAGATCTGTAGTCCAAAAGATGTGACAGTTATTTGTATCTTGTGATCCATTCTTGTTTTTTTTATTTTGTGTGTATGTTCCAGGTGTTTCTTGCCCAAGTATAGTCTGTACCATACATGAGTTTTTGAGGGATTAACTAAAGTATAAATTTTGAATATAAATTCAGTAAACCTTTGTTACTAACAACTCGGATGCTACTGACTCATTATAATGAACCAAAATCAAATAAATTCTCTCAGAAAAATGCATTGATATTAGTTCTTAGTTTTGGAGAAGTAATTCCTTTAGTACAAACTATCAACTAATTTTACACTCCTAGAGAGAAATAGTTTTGTTACAAAAAACTTTAAAAGTACATTAGAAGAAACCTCCTGTACCTCATCACAATGTCAGAGTTTGCGAAGATCTTGGCAATTTTATAAAATCTCTCAATTTAACAATAATTCCTCTCACGTTTATTCATATTAACTGCTTTGATAACGGTTTAATGAGAATGATTGGTTGATTACATCAACACTTGGAATGTTTTTTTTTTCCTCTTCCAAGCTGAAATCCAAAAAATAATATTGTCGCGAAAGTCATTAAGCTATCCCACGTTTTCATAATGTTTAATACTAATAAAAGGCTTAGCGAACCTGAAGGTTCAATGCTAACAACACCAATCGCTTATTACATAATCGCTTATTACATATCTCCCTCCACCGTTCACCGTCCAAACCCGTACATCCCGTTTTAAGTTGTGGGACAAGAGACGTGAGATAAGTAGTTTTGTCACAGAAAAATAACAAATATTTACCGCCTTCAGTCTAACCTTAATCTCCTCTTCAATTTCGTTTTTTATAGTTATCAAAGACATTAGATACCTAAACTTCTCTACCTGTTCAAACGTATTACCGTCTATTTCGATATCCCCCTCAATATCGCCATTTTTTCATCTAACCATATATTTTGTCTTATCTGTGTTTATTTTGAGCCCTATTTCTTTACTGGCTTTCATTAAGGTTGTTATATTTAGTTTTATAGTTTCCGTGTCTTCGCTTAACAGGACCAGATCATCCGCATAGCCAAGCACGGATGTTGTCCCACCCAGATCTAACCCTTTTTCGGTTCGCATTACCTCTCTAATGCATGTTCTAATGCCAAATTGAAACAGGCGGAAGGGAATCACCCTGTTTTAAACCCGAACGAACCTCATTTCATAATGTTTACTAATCATAAATTATATTTTAAGTGTTAACGAGAAGGAGTTGGTCAGGAGGTGCGGTCAAATAAATACTAAATTTTTAAAATAGTATTTTAATTGTTACACCTCTACATTTTATTCGTTATGCCTAAAAACTTAAAAACTTAAAATTTTTTTTTTTAATTTAATATTTATTTGACCGCACCTCCCGACCAAGTCCTTCTCATATTATATAATGGTCAACCATCTCTACACCTTTAAGTGTTGTTTTAAATATTTCCTTGTTAGGTTAAAAAAGAAAATCCACAATAAAAAATAATAATTCAATTGATATATGACCAGTGAAGGTTTCAATAAATAAAGTTTAATACATATTGAGTGTTTATATTTAAAAAACTTTGTTATAATGAGCTAATGATTTTCTAGTCCGTTTCAGTTCACTGTGACATAAAATCTGAAAGAAAAACTTTGATCTTTTTAGAATCAAACCACAAATATAAATTTAACAATGTCTAACATTAACAAAAAAAAAAAAAAAATTACCAATAATTGCTTGAACAGCGATCCGCAAATACCCTTTCACATCACCTTTCTCATTCACGATGGCAACTTTGTGAATAAGAGGAACGGGATAAAGTAAGTTACTCAAATAAACAAATGCCCTAAAAAGAATTATTTAAAAATTATAAATGATAATAGTTTAACAAATAAATATTAAAAATAAAAATAAGATTACATGACTAAATCTTACCTGCCGACCATTCTGAACCACGGGAATCTGTCATAAAACGGATCACCTCTGGTCAATGATTCGATATTGTAATCGGGAGAAGTTGGAGAAAGTTCTGCTTCATTATGATACATCTCTCTCATCAATTCAAGCCTTTGCCTGCAAAAAACATTAAAATTGGAAGTTTACATAAACTTTTCAAATATAAATATTTCATTTTATATTTTTCAATCAGAAATTTTTCTTTCTGTCATCACAATATTTTTTAACATAATGTAGAAATATTAATTTGAAATCAATTAAAATATTATTCCAATCATGCATTATGAACACAATATGTAATAATAAGACAGAGAGAATCGAAAAAATAAATCATTAATATTATTTAATTTTGGATAAATTGGAAGAGAGTAATATAAACCCTTAGTTCTCGGCAATAGTAATCTAGACAGCAGTGTTTGCATAATGCAGACCAGAGCTAATTTAATGTTACACGAGATGTTTTATATCAAGTTGGTCATCATTTAAAAGAAGGGATTCATTCCATATCGCACATGTTTTTAATAAACCCTAGTCTAAGCTAATGGCTTTGGAAAATCCAAAAATGAAAGCTTTCAAATTGTATCTACCTCAAAATATTGCTATTCAATCCATAGGTTGGTAAAAAAAATCTTGTTTTTCCAATTTTCTTTTTACCTAGACATTTCAATTAACTTCGATACATTCCTAATTATTTTTGTAGTAATAACCACATGATGGTTTACGTCTCATGAAAATTATCCAAACCTTCAGAATCTTTGTTTTCTAGTCAGTTTATATGCTTCCATGTCACTGAATAATTGTAATTTACACATTTTAAATTTTTATTTGTATCACGTACCTTGTACTTCTAGCACACCTTGCCATAATAACCAGAACCATAAAGGCAAGGTGTGCTAGAAGTAGAATATATGTAGTTTAATGAGAAATGAAAATAATTCAATGACTTAGAAGATGATTTATCTTTTGCTTAATAAACTATAAACTGACAAGAAAACAATGGTTCTGAAGATGGGGATAATTTCCCTGAAATGTTAACCATCATATTGTCTGCACTATCTTAAAGTAATGAATGTGAGCTTGTTAAATGTTGCACTTTAGATGGTGCCGATGATAAGATTAATAAAAAATAATGATGGAAATATAGAAGTTTACTGAAATGCCTATGACTTTATATAGACTTCAAGATGTCTTCCAACCAAATTTAAAAAGAAATGGTCTTTAACATCATGTGCGTATAAACCTTATTGAAATAGTAAAACAGAGTTTGAATAATCAATTTTCCAAATTTCTTGATACAATGAAATTTTACATATTTTTATCTGGTATTTTTCTTTCTACTGCTGTTATTCTTCATTAAATAATTCATTGATCATTAAATATTTTCATAGCTAGATTGGTTCCTGTCAAATAAAAAGGTAAGCGTCACCTCTAGCATATTAAAATTCTATCTGAGATGAAGAAGCAGATATAAGATTTAGTTATTAATTATTCCTTAGAAATGATTTTCTAGCGCGGGCTCATTATCGTGTATGGGGAGTGTCCCAATGATAGTGGATGTGGGGATGGTTGGTGGAAATTCTTTGGAAGTTCCTCCCGGCTAAGTCCGACAGACTTGCTGACCAATAATGAGAGGGGCCTTCCAGACTTGCTGGAGGGAGGAGACCTCCAGATTTGCTGGAGGCAGGAGCCCACCAGACTTGCTGGAGGGTGTGACGTAGGATTGAACGCCCTACTCACATATCTTTTTTAGTTCAACATACACCACAAATAGTCATGGATCTCCATAAGGTAAAATGCTCATTATCTGGATGTAGACTAGTCCCCCATTTGGGTCTCTGGGTGGGGACTGCGGTACTTGTCCAATAGTAGGCCTAGACAAAACCTTCCTTGTTATCTATGTTATCTAATGTTACATCACATAACCCTCTCTCTTCTTATCTCGTCAAAGCATTCAGGTTATAAACATTGGCAGGTAGCAGTCCATCCTGTCTGAATAATGGACAAGCACCAAATCGTTAATTCCTCCATATAATGTATTATAAATAAGTTTTGCAAATTAAAACCTGTATATTTAATTTGAATTTATGTTATAAAACATTATTATTACAGTACTATTGCATAGATTTGAGGCAACTGAATAAAGTTCTGTTTCGTAATGTTTTCAATTATTTTACATTAGTTTTATATAAAGAAAAAAGGTATATTGTTTGAAAAAAAAGAAATATTAAGTTTTTCCATTGGATTTTCAAACAAATATACATTTTCTAACTGCTTCTCACATGTTTTTAGTGATTCTTATGTTTGATGTAGACACCCCCCACCATTACACCAGCTATTGATTTCCATTTTAATAAAGTGCTGCAAATTTTTTCGAATCAATAATAAAATCAATAAAAAACATACATATCAAATCAGTGTGAATTAGTGGATTTTTATTTCATTTATGTTCTGTGATACCTGATACACAAATTATACAATTTTATGAGCCATTTTAGTGGATTGAAAAATGCAGAATTTCAAAAAAAGTAAAAATTCTGGTGCAAACCAACTCTCTATGATGGTATTTTGTTTTAATAATACAATTATATGACATCCATTGATACTTTATAAAAAAATAAAATAAAATAAAAAAGTATCGAGACTCGAACTGCTTCCTGCAGTACCAGACGGAATGCCCAGAAGAAGACCTACATCGTAGGTGGAAACGTTGGACAATGCAATAAAAACACTATTATATAATATAGTATTTTATATATAGACTATCCCCTTGACTAACTTCTTCTGAAATAAGAATCGATGGTCAACCATTTCCACACCATTATATTTTGTTTTATAAAATTCAATGGAAAATCTAAAGTCGTTCTTTATCCCAATAGATTATTTTTCACTTTATTGTTACACTTGGCAACATTTTTTTTTCTTCTGAATTGATAGTATAATAAAGTTCTAAAAATACAGATACATCCATTGCCATTCTTTTAGGATTAGCAATAAAAGATTTATATTTACAAAGTAGTAAGGTAGGCCATAAAATTACAGATTATTACAGAAATGGTGCCATTGAAAAGGAAAAACATTTTATTAGTTTAATAGAAGATAATGAGACAAGATAAAGTAATATGTAAAATACTAAATCAGTAAACAGTATCTTTTTTTTTTTTTTATTACTCATCACAAAAACATTATAAATTTGATGAGAAACTAATTTAAAAAAAAAATCAATAATTTGGGTTTGACCATGTAAGCATGCCAGTGAAGTAAAAATTTATAAAGACTATCCAGAATGAAAATAACTATTCAAAAGTTGAATTAATATAGTAAATTCAAAAAGCAAGTGATAAATCTATGTTGACAAAAGTGAAGAAATGTTTGCTTGAAGATGCTATACCATTTCCCCTATTAATAAATCACAGGAACAAACTTTAATCATATTGAAGTCATCTCTCAAGTTAACTTAAGGAATGATTGAATTTATCTTGGAAAACTATATGTTGCCTTATGTAGATCAGATTGCAGAGAAAATCTATATTTAAATTATACCTCAGTTACAAAGAACTAAAAAGATCTTACATGCTGATGTATTGTAAGTTTTCTAAACAGTTCAAAACATACTATATACACAAAATATTTTGTTAGTATAAAGCCATCAAACTGAAGGTGCTTTCTGTCAAGTAAGATTTTTTCATTTTTCCATATAAATTTATGATGTCATTCAGTTAATCAGGCATAATCATAATCAAAATTAGAACTGCTGGTATTATTTCATTGTCCGTTTGTTTTTTTGTTTTTTTTAAACCTATAACACCATTATAGGTCAATCAATAGATTTTCAAGAAAGCCACGTCCTAGCAAAAAAAATAGATTTTTTTAGGTTGAATCTAATTTTCGTTAAAATGAACTGAAAACATATGATCACATACAAGTATTGAACTTCTCTGTCTTACTTTTTTATATTGACAAAACACTAATTATTGGTAATTCAGAATAAATTAAAATAAACTATAATCAAAGATCAATAATTGCTTGCTAAAAAGTTTTTGCAGTGAGAAGCTACAAACAGTGCAAAAAGCAAATAGAACATAATCTACTCTATATCAAGATGAAATGGACAGAAACATTTAAATAAAATTTGATGACTAATTAGGAAAAAAAATGAGCCTGCATCTCATCAATAAATTAAAAAAAAAAATAATAATTTCAAGCTTTTCTAAAGAAATCTATGCAGCTCTAATACGATGTAAGTGCTGAAGGTCACTTTTAGAAAATCTGTCATATCATGAAGTACCCCGGTATTTCATTAAACGGAGTTAACTTTACAATATAAGATACCAAAGCAATAACATTATAATGGTTTGATGAATCTTGGTAATTCGAAATGCTTTCCCATGATTGTTTGATTAACTAATGAATTTTATTAACTGAACTAGAAGAATTCTTGCGCCTTGAAATGCACAATGTTTAGGCGTGGATTACAATTACTTCGGTCACTCTTGGAATGTCGGAAATGCCCCAAAGTTGTCAACTGTTGTGACATCAGCTCTTGCCCCATTCTCCCTCCCCCCATTCTACATATCTTTCATATACAAAAACCGATATGTTCTCTCCATGGAACTTGCTAGAAATTGGAACGGTGAAAATGCATTCACCCATTCATGAGATATAAGAGGAAAAGTAGGAAAATGTTTTGCTCATTCCTTTACTCAAGTTCACTAAAAGGAGTTCTCACTTCAATTATTTCATTTTTCTGTTGAAGAACATTTTTTAATTATTAATTTTGTAAGTTTTCCAGAATTATGCTTATTAATTTTTATTGTTGTATCATTAAGTTGGTCTATACAGTTAATTTTGAGTTAAATATTATTTCATTTTAATCAAAATTATTTTTATTGAATTGATTAGCTTCATAATATTGTTATTTGTATTTAATTTGCAAAATCATCAGAAAATGGGGCCCTGTCAGTAGTCAGTATTAAAAAAAAATTGTGTCTGTTTGAATATTAATTTTTGAGGAATGAATGAATGTGATAAGGACTAAGGCTGACAAAGAATATGGGAAAATTAAATGATACTGAATAATGAAAATTATCACTAACAAAAAATATCAGTCATGATAAAATAATTAATGGTTTTTATTTACTGCTATTTTTTTTCACAGTGTATAATAAATTCATAAGCTTATTTATTATATATTCATAAAGACAGGTGGTGATGTAATATAAACATCATGTATAAATCATTTTAATCATGTATTAAAAAAATATAAAATGTAAAAACAAAAAAAATACCTTTAAGAAATAATTAAGCATATATCATCCAGGAAAAAAAGGTAGTAGAATAGTAAATGCAGTATCTTTAAAGAGGAAGAAATTATTAACTATACCAAAACTAATGGACTATATCTTAGTTAATAATTGTTCGATTTTTACATTTTTTTTTTGTTTTGTTTTGTTTTGTAGATAATTTAGTAATCTTTCTAATAATCATGGGTACTATCAAGAAAAAATTCATACTTTTTGAGTTATTCGCAAATTAAGTTTCTTTTCCTTCATAACTTTTTTTCCAGAAAATTCTGGGGAATAGGATTATTTTTCGCTTGTGAAGAATATCTTCAAAATGAGTGGTAAATCATGAAGAATTGACGACATTATGGCATATCACCAAAAAAACACCTTTTAGAAATAATTATTCAATATTATTTAGATGTTTATAACAATTTTTTTAAAATTTATTTTCATATCTTTTAAGAAGCTTAGATGAAGGCTCATGGGGCTATATAAGATCATCAAATTAAATAAAAGAACACTATAATTTTTGTGATAGAAAGAAATCATAAGCGTGGCATAGAAAATAAACGATTGCTACATATGTTACCAGTTCATCATACCATAACATGCCACTATTTCTATTAATAAATACCTGGGCTAATCAAAATATACAAGATTTTTAATAGGCCTTAATAATAAGCACTGAAAAGAAAAATGAAGATAAGAAAAAAAAAGAAAGAGAAAGAAATACTAAACGATTAAGCTTCCATGCCATAAATAGAAGCACATGGCAAACACAAAAGAAAAGACAGAAAAAATGGAGGACAGATACAAAAATAAACATATATAAAGGAGGAAAAATATGAAATAAGTTTATGGCCACCACCAACCTCGAAGGCACAAGATTGGCAAGAGTAAATGGCTGATTGAGGCAATGGAAAAAGTCCTCCATTCTCTGTTCTGGTGTTACAGGACTAGACGGTTCCTCATTGTATATATGCCTCATAAGTTCCAACCGGTTTCTAAACCAACATAAAATCAAATCTAAGCCATAACTAACCCCAATTATTAACATTACTTATATTTTAATCTTCTCGGCCTTATTGAATAATTCGATAATATTTGCCAAGAAATAATGAAAAGGCCTTTATATATATAGTATTTTAGATCAGTTTTAAAGCTTAAATGTTCAACTAATATAACAATTTAAAATATTAACTATTTTAAAACAAACTAACACAACTTACAGCATTACAACTCATAGCCCACGGCGGTACACACTTTTTTTTATCAAATTATTAACACTCATCTAAAACTTAGTGAATGGCTTCATCTTATTGTAACCTACAACTTTTTATTTATGAAAATTCTCGGAAATGGGACGTTTTCAATCTAGAAATCGGTAAACTTTGTCTATTCAATAGGTACTAAAAACTGATGCACACCGACTTGCTTTCCATTTGAATTGTAAGATAATTTGATCATGAAATTGAGAAAAAAGGTGGCTTACAAAAATATTGGAAAGCTTGGCATAAGCTCCACGACTAACATGTCAAAATAACGCGTATATATTATATAGGTAAAACGGCAAAATATTTTTGTAGACCACCTTTCTTCTCGATTTTGAGATCAAATTATCTTACAATTTAAGTGGAAAGCAAGTGGGTATTCATGAGTTTTTTATTATCTCATAAAATTAATTAATTTAATCAGAAAATGCCGCATTTCTGAAAATCATTGAATATAAAAAAGTTGTAGATTACGATAAAATAGAGCCATTTATAATGTTTTAGGAAAATGTTAATAACTTGATAAAAGGGGGTCTGCACCACGGACTTATATTCTTAGTTTCGAAAAAACAAATAATAATACATGGTTGCGGAATAATTAGGAGGCCAATCAGCTCCCAAACATACTTTCCCTTTAACAAAATTTAGCCAATAAGTTTTAATTTAAATTTTGTACTAAATCTATTTAAATTTTTATACTTGAAACATGGCGTAATTTTATTTTATGTTGGTTAAATTTAATTAGGTAACCATCAATTACATTTCATTTTTTTTTTCTTTTTTTTTTTTTTTTAATAGAACAGAACAGAAGACGATTCCTTTGAAAATTAAAAAAAACAAAAAACAATAACCATAATAATAATAAAATTAAAAAATGTTAGGAAGAAAACAATTTTGCATGGTTAAGGTTAAAATTTAAAATAAAATTAAAAGAATAATAGAGGAAACACTAAAATCATAGTATGTATTGGGCTGCAAATAATAAAAAGTTTTTAAAAATAATATGTATTATTATTTGTTCATTTAAAATAAATATGAGTGCTAAGTTTTAAGTAGTGTCTAAACTCTAAATAAACGCCTAAACTAATAAATAGGCAGACTTAAGAGCAGACAAACACTCTGTCCATACAAAATTTATTTAAGTAAAATTAAAATCAGTGACGTTAGTGAAAGCATTCTGAATTTTTTTTTTTTTTTAAGATCAGTCTAATGCGAACCTCAATTTCTCCAGAGACCAATAATGAGTAGCGCCATTTTTAGTATCCAATACTTCAACAGCAACAATAGTTCTTGGATACGGTCGATCAAGATCATCATCAACATCAGTAGGTATAAGATCGGGAGGCAAAGGAGAATATAAAGTATCCGTTAGGAGGGTGAATTGAAACTGAACCTGAAAAGAAAAACACACATTAATTCGGGAAACCAATAACTTCATTTGGAGAATGAACATAATTTAAATACAGTTTAGTCTGGCTAAAAGTATACAAGTATTTATTGTTACTCATTAGTACATTTGTTTTTTTTCTTGTTGAATTTGATCTATCCGCCTGCGCTTGGTTATTGGCCTCCCACGTGGTCTCTTGCCTGCCATTGAGCCGTTATTGTGGTGCAGAGGCTTTCTGGTGGATTGCTCCAAGATGCATCCACAAGATGCATCGTAATCTCCTTACCTTCATATCGAGTGATGTTGATCACTTTCTGTGTGATTTATTGGTTCTTCTCCTCTAGGTCATTCCAGTTATCGTGCAGAGAATTTTCCCCTCAAATTTTTCAAAACTTCTTTCTAGGGTGCTGGTTAATGTCCAGGTCTCGCAGCCATAAATTATAACTAGCATTGTGCACCCTTAATTTGAGATTTTTTGGTATTTTAAAATCTTTGAAGGAAACCAGAAAACTCTATTTGCTCTTGTTTATTTCTGACAGTAGTTCATTCATAGAGGTTATTGTGAAATTGAGGTCTTTCAATATATTTACTATAAGGACCAATATCCCTTTCATCGAGATTCTGTTGTTGTGGTGAAGGGATTGTCTGTACTTTAGGCCGAATGCCAGGATATAGAAAAGAATTTTTATTTTATTTTACTGATTGTAACCCCTAACCAACTTCACTTACTGTATTGGGGGCGGGGTGGCCGAATGGGCTAAAGCGTGTGCACTGCACCGCGAGTTGCCTGGCAACCGGATAAGAGATTTGAGAATATTAAAAAAGTATGAGTTCGCATCCCGGTGCCGGAGGGGATTTTAAATTCGCCGACCTCACCCTCCGGCTCAGGAGTAGGTGTATATGATATGAGAATCCTTCGACATCCAAAGATAAACAGCATTTCATAACTCACTTCAGTTTAACCTCAAGTAACCATTGTACCATACACATAGCTGAAATGAAAGTCTTGAAAAAGAAATTACAAGAACAATAAAGTTAATAAAATTAAATTCGATTTTTTAAAAAAATTACTTTTTTCTTCAGCTCAACAGATATAGCATTTGCTTCTTTCAAAAATATAGCATTTCCCCATAAGTCATCTCTTAATGAAGTGAATTGGTGGTATTTCCATTTCCTGAAAGCCCAAGAAGCTAACTGGTATTCTCTGTCAGTCCAGTTACAAGCGTCAAACAAAGGATTAACTGAAATTATTAAATACAGATATAAAAACATCTCATGTTTTTTTTTTTTAAAAACAGGTTAAATAAAGAATAGATAGAAGAATAATATATACCAAAAATATCTTCTTCTTGATTGAAATCTTCTGGTGTATAAGAACTGTACATGGACATCGTCATGCTCTGCTCTTCGACCTGTTTTTGGAGGGCATCAATTCTGGCTTCGTAGTTCTGGGAACATAGAAATAAATAATATCAAACGTCAAATCAAAACTAAGGAAAGCTTAAGGTGAGTTTATCAAACAACATTAAACAAACATTATATTATCCAGCGAACTAATTATAACATATAAAAGGCAATTATAATATAAATAAAAGAACTTTCATTGCAAAATTAAAAAAATATCTTGGGCAACGCAGCAGTATCACCTAAAACATAATTTTACTTTTTAAAGTTTAAAGCTTTTAAAAGAGAAAATAATAATCAACTTAAAACAATTGTAAAGAGTTCAAACCTAGGACATGCAAAAAAAACTCACTCTAAACAAAGAAATCTTAGTATGCTTAGATTATAATTTTTTTTTTTTTGGTATTTAACTTGTTTATTGAAAAATATTACAATATGTCTCAGAGGACATTTATAATAGTGTTCAGAAATCACATTCACACTCTGTGTACAATAAATAAAAAAAAAATTATACAGAAAAATAATATATACACAATAAATAAGAATAAAATAACCTAAAAAAGAATAAATACATACCTAACATTATAAAATTAACCATCATAAGTGGAACAATGATGAAAATAAACTTGACATAACAAAATGTTTTAGTTTCTTTTATATGCCAATAGATAGGGTAATAACTAGTTCTTATTCATACCAATAGGTAGCAGTAATGAGTTGTTTTTTAAATATTAAGATTATCAAATATTAAAATTTCAATTATGAGAATTTTTTCATGTTGTATGAATGTTATAATTACTCTATGAAAAGTAAGTCTTAATCAATATATTATTCATTTATTGAATTATTGAAGAAAGTTTTTCGACTGTTATACATATCATGGATGATAAATATTCAGGACGCAGTCATTATTAAGTTTTTATTAGTGCCGACATTTCAACCCAAACATGTGGGTCATTATCAGGGCATGTTTCGAGCACTGAATTTATTAAAGTACTGGTATCAAGGTATTCAGTACTTAAATACTTTCAGTGCTTGAAACACGCCCTGATCATGATCCACATGTTTGGGTTGAAATGTCGGCACCAATAAAAACTTTATAATGACTGCGTCCTGAATATTTATCACCCATTATTCGTTTATATAAGAATTTAAATGTTAACCTTAGTAAATTACAGTTGTTTTACGAAGAATATACATATCAACTGACTAAAGGTAAAAAATCCCCAAATTAAAAAAAATGACGAGTTGGTAAGTTTTCCAAAAACTATCCAAATATACTAACAAATTTTTCTTCCCAAAATAACATCGGCACCATGTTAAAAGTAACGAATGTGCAACACTGGGCAGGTTCACATTTGTTAATTTAACATGGTATTGATGATAACTTCTGACAACTTTTATCATAACCAACAGTATAAAATTCTTTGATTGATAAAATGACACAGACACATTTAAAGTTAAGTCTTTAGGGAATGATAACAAATCTATCATTAAATAGTGAAATACCTAGAATATACAATGGAATTAAAGAAATTATTATAATTTAAAAAAAAAGTAAAACAAAGCCATTATTTTATTATAAATGTTGAGAATTTACAATACAATACCTTTCTTTGTTCTTCAAATTTTTGGTCAGCGTCTTCTTTTTCTTTACGATATTGCTCTTCAAGTGCAAGTAACCTTTTGTTCATTTCTTGTTTCAAGTCAATACCTTGTTTCTCTAAAAGCTCAATTTGTGCGAAATTCCAATCCACTATTTCGGAATTGTTAGGGGTTTCGGCCGGAGAAGATTTGTCGATAACTGAAATATAAATAATTACTTAATTATATTAAATAAATAATTACTTATTAAACAATGGACTTATTCATTAATAACTTATTGACTTATATATGATTGTATGTTTACGATAATGATAGTTTTTATTTACCTTCTGGTTTATCTTCCTTCAATTCATTATTTATATACTTCTCTCTTTGTTCTCGAGCTGTAAAATAAAAATAATAACATAATTTAATTTTAGATCTTCCTTATAGACCTTCTTCTTTCCTGAATTAACACTTGTGAAATATGTTTTTTTTTCTTCTTTTTTTAATAAACATTGTTATCAACATAAACTAAGAAACCTTAATCAGGATAATTACATTTCTTTAAATTTTACTTGTTATAAGATATATCATGGGTTTGAGACAAAAAATCATCAAATTCAAAGACATTTCATACAATTAAGCCACTAAGCACTTTGATGAATTCTCTCCCAATGGAATGTTAACATTATCCACTTAGTGACTTTTTGCAATAAACTGACAACAGACATTTTATTTGATATAAAGCTCACTTTTTTCTATTAAAAATTCATGTCCCTACAAAAAAAAAAAAAATTGATAAATATAAAGTTTCAATACATGGAAGTTATTAACAAAATTGGCTACTACCATGAATTTGCAATTCTGATAAATATGAAGTTTCATTAATATAAGGAAGTTATTAACAAAATTGGGTACTAGCATCAATTGGCAATTTTTATTCGCCAATGAAGATTAGGTTATAACAATTAACAATTTAAACGAAACAAATCTCAAATTTTTCTGATGAGGACGGGGCTGTGCCAGGAGATTGGAGACAAGACTACGACATGGCCTCTCAGTGCGTAGCTCATACCGTTGGCTATCTAATACCATTACATCAACATATACCTTGCTCATACCAGTGAGTATCAATTTTCAGGAAGATAAATCTAATTCAGTTTTTTTTTTTGTTTCTTGATGGACATATGTAAAGATATAAAATTTTTTCTGAAATAGGTAGGAAAGTCGTGTGAGTGGACACACCAGATTTTTTTTCCATGCAAATACTTAATTCAAAATGAATACTGAAAATTTTGTTCTAGTATAAGTTAAATAGTTTTAAATAAAAATTTGCTGGTATAACAATTAACAGCTGATCATTTACCTTGGGAGGGATGGTTGAATCGGAAGACATGATTTTTTCCGAGAATAACTCTGTTGCCAGTTTTCAATGCAATAGGTTCGAAAACTTGCCTGCCATTGACATAGGTGTCTGCTCCAGGAAAAGGTTTTAAGATAACAACTCCTTCTTTGTTTTCGAATATACAATGTTCTCCGAGGATATGAGAACCGATGAGTTGAATGTCCTGGGGAACGTTCGCTTCACCGCTTCCTACACGCGTTAGTCCGTCTTTGATGTAATACAGCAAGCATTCGGACATTGATGGATCTTCGTTCAGATTTACCAAATGGGGTGTCTATATGAAAGAAAAAATAAAAATTTACATTAATTAAAGTAAAGGTATTAAAAGAAAATAAATATTTTTGCACTAATCCATATAAATGCTAACATCAATAATAAAGAAATATTTTTTTCTTTATTTGGATTACCCTCTGCCCCTATCCCTGGCATATGAGGGGAGGAGTAGTTCTAGAGGTACAACCAAACCTATTCTAACCAGCACGGGAAGGTCGAGTTTCATTCTGTGGTTCGGGGAGATCAAGATTCATTGTGTGGATTGATTGATCCTCCAATAGTAGCCATTGATATGTACACAAAGTGTCTGTGTGCTAAGCATTTATCTGACATGATCATCGTGCTGATAACCAATTCAATAGTAGCTGTTGATATGTATACAATGCATGCTGTATTACATCAAAGACGGATTAACACGCATAGGAAGCGGTGAAGCGAACATTCTCCAGGACATTCAACTCATCAGTTCTCATATCCTCGGAGAACATTGCATATTCAAAAACAAAGAAGTTGTTATCTTAAAATTTAAATAATTAACTTGATCTGATCATTTTTTAATTGAAAAGATGAAAAATTGTGTATTATTAATAAATATAGAAGACAAAGAACTAATCAATTAAATAAAATAAGTGAAAACAGTTAATTTTTTGTAAGATTAACATAATTTAATAAAAAAAATAATAATAATAATGAATAAAATCCTGTCCTTGAAAAGACGATTCCAATTGAATTGGACGCCAGCATGATGATCATGTCAGATAAATACTTAGCACAGATAAATACATGATGATCATGTCAGATAAATACTTAGCACAGATAAATACATGATGATCATGTCAGATAAATACTTAGCACAGATACACTTTGTATATATATTAATGGAGGTCAAATCAACCCACACAATGAACCTTGATCTCCCCATTCTGGTTAGAATAGGAGTGGGCTATATCTTTAGAACACCCCCCTTCTCCCCCCCATTGAAACCAGCCACTTGGAGAAACGATTTGGAACTAGTTACTATTTAAAACATTTGTTTAGTTAGAAAATTATATAAGTACCTTCTTAGGAGAGAAGACTCCGACAGTATCACCATCTTCTTTAACTGCAACCCCCATTTCAGCAAAAACAGCTTCTCTTTGCAGTCGAATTTCTTCAGTCCTCTTCAGTTTTTCCTCCCATGTTTCATTCAATTCTAAATAAAATTTTACAGCACTGTATAAATTGAATTTCATATAAATTTGTACTGAAATGTAAAAAATAACGAGTGATTGATTACCAGATACTATAATTACTATACCTGCAATCAGTTTTTCACTAGCTTGTAATTGGTCGACTGCCTCCTCAGCAATAGTAGATGAAGGAGCCACGGTTTTGGTTTCACCTTCAGGCTTGACGACTTTCGTACCATCATCTCCTAAAGAAAAGAAACCAAATTCCTATTTCAAGTATGTTTACATTGTCATATTTATCAACAAAACATTATTGATTGTATATTCTTTTAGACCAATGGCATGATTAACATATCACATTATTTTGTTCTAAGCTTGCTACTGGTTATGTGTTTACAACAAAATATAGCTAAAACAAAAAAAAGAAACTACATAAATCAGTGTTACATCATGGGAAAACAGAAAAATTAACATTTATACTATGGGTGATAAAATCACAATCCCTAAACAAAAATTTCGGCTGAAAAAAAATTACATATAATTTTATCAACAGAATAATCATGGCATAGATTTGAAGCAAGCTTTTAATCATGAAAATAATGAATTGAAATTTAAGTTCCAGGGTGTCTACTGAGTAGGAATCGTAATGAAAATGCAAATTCTTTTTACAGGTTTCAGTTATTTATTGATTTGGTTTTTATATTCTTTATCTTTTTATGTTGAGCACTTTAACTCATTTTTCTCTAGTTCTTAGTAATAAGTGTTTTTAATAATATATTTTAATATTGTTATAGACTTTTAGTATTGATTTCTTTCCGTTCTTTTTAATTATTTTTATGTTCAAGCTAATTTATTTTAATACAGTCATTCTGTTTTCATGAAAACATAAAAAGAATTCTTAGGAATAACCACATGAAGAGTCCATTCACACTCCCATTTTGCAAGCTTTTCCCTACATGTAGACACTCTGGTGGTTTCTTTTTCTATAATTTACAACTAATAAGAAAATCAAATAATCTAGAAGAATCTAATTCTTAATAACTTCTTAATTAAAAAAAAATTACTCGATTATAATAAATTATAAACAAAAAAATACTAACAAAATTGCAATTTTAAAGTGATTATTTTCTTAAACACTTTGATCATGTGGTTACTAAAAATTAAATGAATTGCGAGCAGTGATATAAGCAAGGCAGTGGATGATCGTTTACAACGTTGATACTTACTGTCGATTTCTTTCTCCTTTTCATAAATGATTTTTCCTTCAGCTCCATGACGACATAAGATAAAGAAAACGGGACAACTATTACTAACCACACAAATAAACATCAATAAAGCCAAAGCAGTGATTTTTGCAATTTTATTTTAATTTATTCTGATCATATCTGTAGTGTTTATTAAACTTATCTAGTGCTTATTGAACTTGGAGTATTTTAAAACTTTCAATAACCACAATAGACAGTGTGATTATGATAAAAGTTAAGTTAAGATTTTAACATTTTTAAAGATATTAAAATATATTGAAATTAAGAAATGATGAAATTGATAAATGGTGTAAGAACAAACTTTAGAGGCAGTGGAATTAAGCAAGGCAATATTAAATGATCATTTAGGGTTGTACATGATTACTTACTATTGATGTCTTTTGCCTTTTCGTAAACGACTTGCCCGTCTGCACCGTGGAATAAGATAAAGAAAAGGGGACAACTATTACTATTACTATCTACTGGAATAAATAAAGCCTATTTTACAATTTTTTTTGTTGTACTAATAAACAACTAAAAAATTCATAAATATTTAAAAGTGCCATAATCATAAGGATAATTTCACATAATATATATACATCATATAAAGCAAGCCTGTCAATTTGGAAAAAAGAAATTATATTACTGAGAAACTTCGGATGATCCTTCATTCAACAAGTACCACCGTAAGTATTAAAAACAAAATTTTCAAATTATTTTCATACAGGTATTTCATCAGGCTTGCTCTGTGCATCTTTATTTTCATGTGTATCAGACAACTTTTTACTAAATTTAAATGTATATTTAAGTATTTTAGTAATTCCAAAGAACCTAAGTATTGATTTTAATACACAAGTGGAAAGCTTGTATCATTATTAATCTATCATTCATCATAATGGATCTTGAAAAAATTTGAATCCCAGTTTTTAACAAAAATATATATCACAAGATCTCCTGAAACCAAATCTCGCAAAAAAGGGTGTATATGTAAAATGGAAAATTGAACAACAATGAAATTATTTATTTAAGATTGGTATACACTTAGAATATTACAGCTATTTTTTTTTTTTTTTGTCAAAATCGACAAATCGCATATGGTACTATTGATCATTGATTTTGTATATTTTTACAATTTTCTTGAAAACAAATCAAATGTTTTTAATGAAACAGGTAGTATCAATGTAACCATAACTGGCCTTTAATATCAAGTTGGCATTAGCCTTATTGAAATAGACTCGCTGAAACAGGGCTTAAATGGAAAGTTTTTAACATTTATTTACTGATGCAGATATTTTTATTTATATATTTTATAAACTTTCATTTGAAATAAAAAAAAAAAAAAAAGGAAACGTTTCTGATACCTATGAAATATAAATATTTTATTTTACATGTTACTAGATCATTCCACCAATAATATTTGTTAGTAAAATATCGTAGTTGCTTATAAATAAATTTCAATTTATAATTTTTAAGTTAAAATTTTGAATTCCTGTGAATGCATATTGATTTGATTTAAAAACTCACCTTCTTGAACTTCGATTCCTTCCGCCTTCAAAAGATCTCTCAACCTCTGGATCTCTTCTTTAAGTTCTCGAATAAGTTTGGCATTGGCGTCTTCATTGACAACAGCTTTGCACATTATCTGTTTCGCTCTATCAGCATATCTAGAAAAAAAAAATTGAAATGAAAGAATATGGTTCAAAGATGTTAAATATTTTCAGAACAATGAAAACTTTACGAATATGTAAAAAAAAAAAAAATAACAAACCTTAATGTAGATAAAGTTTCATCATAGTTGATATCTGCAGGACTTATAGCTGCTATCATAGCAGTTTTAGAATTACCACCAAGATTTTCTCTTAAAAGCCAAGTGAGAACGGAGTCACGATACGGTATGAAATTTTCCTTTTTTTTTTTCTTCGTTGCCTGCAATTTAAAAAATAACAAACAAAATGCAAGATCAGATTGAGTATGTAAGATAAATTATGGTTATATAAAAAAATAACACACATTATATTCGGCACATGAAGCCAGCAATTTACCTTACTTCTTTATGTAATTACTAATTATAGCCAACTTATCAAAAGCCAATCTCAATTTCCCAAACAATATCTAAATTATTATAATTTAATTTTTAACAAAAAATTTCTTTCTTATGGATTTAATTATAAAATGAATAATTCAGAAAACATATGGGAGATTCTCAGATAACAGGCAAATCAGATATCAAATTCCAAAACCGGCCAAATCCATTTTTTAATTGAACAGTCGTATTATATCATCATTAAGTGAAAGTATTTCATATAACTGGTAATCTAAACTTTATTCTTAGTGTTTTATTTTTTAATTTTCTCTTCACTTTATGACTTGTAAGGTAATTTATTTATTTTTTGTTTGTTTAATTTTCTATCAGTGAATGTTTCTACCAATTTGTTGTTTCTCTTCAAGTCTTTTCAATTTTTAAACAATGATTTTCAAAATTTATATTTTATATACAGAACCTTCGAAATAAGTCAGATTCATTCTTTTGTTTCTTTTAAGATCCCGAAAGCGAATAGATACATCTACGAAAAGCAAGTACTTTCTGGATCTCAATGGTCAAATGCCCTAAAACTAAACATTAATTATGCACCCCTGCGTGGAGTCCCAGGTGTCAGCGGACAGATCAGAGAAGTTGGGTCCCTCTGCCGTAAATGCGGCAGAGAGTCTGAAACACCAGCCCATGTGCTGGGAAAATGCCCTAAAAACTCCCTCCTCATAACACGTCCTCACCGCCGGGTCAAGTTCGAGTTGATTAGGCTCCTTAGTGAAAGGAAATTCACCTGCGTCGACGACGTATATTGCATCGATAGTGAAGGCTCTACGAGATACGAGGATATCGTCGCATTTCCCAAGACAGGAAGGACAGCGCTGATCTTGGATCCAACTGTCCGCTTTGAGAGCAATGACCTCGATCAGGCGGGTGAAGTGGAAAGGGAAAAGAAGAACACGTACGATAAATGTATCCCTTTCCTAAAAGAGAAATTCCGTGAGACGTTTGGAGAGAGAGAGAGTTCACTGTGAGAGGCTTCTGGTTTGGGTCTCGCAGAACAATTCCAAAAAGAACAAGGAGCTTCCTCGAGGAACTAGGTGTCGACATTAAGGACGTAGGGAGGTTGGCTGAAAATATAGTCCTCGACTCCCTGGGAATCATACACCACCACGTGCATGGCTAGCCTGAGAGTTTTAATTTATGTATTTATTTATTTAATGAAAAATTGAAAACAATAGTAATAAAGAGAGAGAAGTGAGAGAAAAGGAAACTAAACGTTAAAAAAAAAAAATGTATATATATATATCTATTTTACTAATATAAACTAACACTTCTGTATATTTATATGTAAGTTCATTTACTGTTCTAAGGATTAAAGAGTATGCTGTGTATATAGCAACCCAATATAATTGGGCAGCAATCTTTTATATTTTATATTTTTATGAAAATAAAGTGATTCTCTCTCTCTAAGCTTGAGTTTTCAATTTTTCTCTTGCAAAATTGCTTGTTACCTGAGAATAACCCACATGTAACTTCCCTATACAAAGAAATATCATACCAAATAGTGATTTTTATTTATAATTTAATTATTATTCTTTTATTATTTATACAATAATTCCTTCCTAATGAAGCATAAGTCAGCAAAACAGTCAGAAAAGGCAGTTTTAATATTCAATAAAAGTTTTCTGTAGTTCAATGAAATATTATTGATATAAATTATGAAACTTTTACTTACAGACTACATCACAGAAGCATGAAAAGAATTATTAATTAATAATTAATAACAATTTATGTATGTAAACTGTGTTAATAACAACATTTTATTTAACAATAATTTAAATACTCACTATTTCAGCAAGGGCAGATATAACTTTTCCGAGAGTGGTCAAACTCTTGTTAATATTAGCACCCTCTTTGAGCCTCGTACCTTTGGCTCCAGTCGAGTCCGCGCGCTCGGACCCGGCCAAGTCGACCAGCGATATCTTGCTCACCTTTTCCGTCGATAATGAAGTGAGATTATCGTAGCGTTGTTGAGTGAAGAATATAGTAAAAACTGCATGCGATCGACTGGATGTTTCGTTCATATTGGTAGCAGCTACAGTTCTATAGATGTAAAAAGATTTCCATAAATTAAGTTTCAAAAGTATGCAAAATATAAAATTTAAGATTGTTTTTACACAATGTCTACTTAAGTTTTATACAAGCAAGACTTCGAAAAATTTAAAAACTAAGTTTAACCAACATACTAGTATTATTAAAAACTAGAAAAATTTCAGTGCAATGGCATTAGTAGTGTAATTAATATTCAGTAATTTTATTTCAATAAAATATAAATAAAAAATATAGCAGAAAGTAAAAGAAAAATAAGAAACAACATACATAACTACAAATATTAAAAAACGCAGTAAATTTTAAAAATGATATTAAAGGTATACACAGTACCAGATGGGTATGAATAATAGGATAATTTTTTTAAGTAATGAGAATAAGTTAAAATAGACGTTTTACTAACATTTGGAATATGTGGATCAGAGAAATCCTTAGTAAGTATTTAAACATAGGGGAATTTATCAAATAAGTAGTGGTCTGTATATTAGATGCTCACAATATGATATAAACATAATGACTCATAAATATTTTCTAATAGAAAAGAGACTTTACAATGGATGAGGTAAACCCAAAATATCAAATGGAATGAAGTAAATGTAAGAACTAAGGAGTTAAAATATTTTGTAAAAATTATTAACTAAAGGATAGTCAACATGAAGAATACTCATTGTGCAAATCAACAGCCGTTTTTTATTTTTCTCAATTTTAGTCCAGTAATATTCTGTTTAACGATGAAAAGACATATTGAACCAGAAGTTGGCAACATTATCATGAGAATGAGCAGTCAAGGGTACTGGCAAGTCGATATTGCCACTTTAGGCAGATTCAGAGAAACTGGAAGTTCCATTAGGAAATATGTTAGTGATTCTGAACACATTATGGCACCAAGGGTTGACAGAAATGTTGGTATTACTGCAAGAGGGTATCCTTTTCATATTGCCCAACAGAGCCTAAATAAAGTGTCAAGTAGAGTTTTGGAAAATTGGTCTAATATTTTATGCTACTTTAAGACAGTTTACAGCAACAGTAGCTCACCGGCAACTCCGCAGTGAGCAGCATGGTGCAGTGAGCGCCTAGGTGAGGATAAATTGGAATGGTATTGTGTTTACAGGTGAGTTGTGTATCTGTATTTACAGCAACACTGAAGCGGCTACCGAGAAGAGGGGATGGGTACATTGCCACACTTTGTGCTCCCTTCAATGATATCTGGAGATGGGGGTGGATGGTGTGGGCTGGCATCTATTGAGGAGAAAACACTTTGACTCCTCAATGAATCCTGATGAAACACTTTTTGAATCCTGATGATGATTATTGTCGACAGTAATCTCACTACAGTTTATCATCTTCAAGAAATTATAGAGGAGTAATGTTCTCAAACTAGGACCATAATTGGCACAGATTTCCATTTTCTTTGCAATACGCGACATCATAGGAGAAAAAAATGATTATCAATGTCATGAAAGTGAGGACATTTTATACCTGCCCCACCCCACATTGACTTGCCAGGACTCGATCCCACATTGACTTGCCAGGACTCAACCCCACATTGACTTGCCAGGACTCAACCCCATCGAGTACACGTGGGATGCATGGCAGAGAAGGCTTTTTGACCACCATCTGTGGCTAATTAAGCTCCTCAATTTTCTGGGGAATGAACTATTGTTTGCACGTGAAGAAGATAATCTTCAATTCATATCAACCTTTGATGAATAATTAATGAATATGTGATGCACACACGAAAAATATAATTGAAAAATAATAAATAAAGATAAAATAAGTCAACAAATTAAAATTATCTACCTTGCTTTATTGCCTTCATCTATTAAATTGTGGATATCTTCATAACTTGTAACAGCGAGTTTAGATAAGTCTTCAACGTAAGGCCCAAGAAGTGGGTGTTCCCTGACTCGTAAATTACCCTTGTTTTTAGGATTTAAAAGATCACGAACCCTTTCACAGTATATTTCCATATAACTTACCTATAAGTTAATGAAATTATAATGTTAAAAATGAATTTCTATTAAATATTAAATATAAAAAATTTACATATATTAGCCACCTATCACAGATTTTAAATAGAATATTTATAAACTTGGATGCGCTAGGATATAAACTTACAAATGAAATTTCAAATTTATATAGTAGTATGAAAGATAAAATAGAAAAAATAAAACAACAGGCATGGTGTACCAAAAAACTATTTAAACTGCTCAGGAGTATATTAGTGTAAATAAATGATACATAAAAGACAGAATATATCTACACCTAAATGACTCTAAAAACAAAGAAAATCAGAAACATAAAAATAAAACAGCATTAGTGCAACACCATGCAGATTTAGAGCACATTATTGATTTTGAAGATGTTAAGATTATACAAAAAAAGAAATATAGAAGAAAGATATTAGAGATTATTGGAATTACAGAAAACTTAAATAGGGCCATAAATGTTATAATTGATTCATACAATATAAATAAATCATATTGATACTCTTAGTGCAAAAGATCGTATGAAAAAATTGATTTTTTTTACAGAAGGGCATCATAAAAACCTATTATTTCTTTATGATTTATAAGGAGGGTACGTCCTGTCCACATGACGGCGGATCAACCCCCATTTTACAAATCCTACAACTGTTGATTTAATTTCACTACTCGTTGCTCAAATGGTATAACTGTAATTTACATCTATTCTGTAGTTCGGATAGAATATGAGTCACTAAATACTTTTCTATATAATAAAGGGATTAGTATAATTTCATATTTAATTTTCCCTACTATTTTCCTATTTAGCAGACTACTTATAGCAGTTGCAGATTATAATATTTCATCTTTAGGGTAAAGATAATAAACATGTAAATTGTAACATACGATCTTTTGCACTAACAGTAGTGATATGCCGAATTCATTAAATTAAAAACAAATAATTTATATTTTTCTTTTTCTTTATTTTCCATAGCATATTTTCATAATATTTGAAGTTTTTCCACCAAAGAATGAAGCAAGGTTTTCTCCATTTTCACCATAGCAGCTGCTGATACATAATGGTTTAAAATATATGGAATGTTACATTTTCAAAAAAAGTTAAATAATTTATATAAAACTACAGAACTTCAAAACAACAAATTTTTTAAAAATAAGATAAAAAAATAAATTTATCTAAAAAAGCCAAAATAAAAATGAAATATACTTTTTTGTGTAGCTAAATATTTTTACTGTTATTTGGTTTTTATTTTTGAGTTAATTTTTAGAATATATATTTAGTAATAAAAGGGTTTTCCTTTTTTTTTTAGAATATCACCAGGAAATGATCAACGAAAAGAAGATTTGGTCCAAATGAAAAAAAAACTGACATTTTTTTTATCAGAAATTTTGAAATTTTTTTAAGACTAAAAATAAATTTTCTAGCCATATTTTTTATGTTTGGTCCCATTTTATAAGTTGTTTATTTAATTGATAGTAGGCCAATATGTATGACTCTAATAGAAGTAGCTAAAACAATTGATTTCTAACCTCTCAATTATAAAATCTATTCCTAAATAAAATATTAATCCAGTCTTAACAATTAAAGATGAAGAGGCAAGTAAGATCAGACTTAATGTCTTCCACCAACCAGGTACATAATTATGATCAAATCAATATATTGTTTTTAGAAATAAAATTAATATTTAGTTATATATATAATTTTATTATTCGCAACAAAATTGTCTAGAATAAGGAATGGATCATAGGGATGAATTGTATAAAAATGATATATACATTTTTTTTAGATAATGGTGGATTATCTGTAATTTCATTAATGTAAACCAAAGTAATCTAAATTTATCATTTTATATAATATAGGAGTACAACAATGTATATACAGAAAGTTAAAAATTGATGTGTTAAAATTGAAATTTTTAAGGATAGACAACTAATAACAATATTTTCACAGATACTTTAAAATAGCTGAAGAAGCCAAAATGTTGACAATGAAATAAATGTAATAAAAATCTATTTTATTAGTGACCTTTGGCCTAAAATCACTTAATAAAAAAACAACTAAAAATTAAAATTTTTATATTAAGTGGGTAGGTAAATGATATATAATGGTATAATGGTGTATAATGGTGATATAATGGTATAATGGTATATAATGGCATAATGGTATATAATGATATAATGGTATAATGGTATAAATGGTGATATATAATGGTATAATGGTATAAATGGTGATATATAATGGTATAATGATATATAATGGTGATATGTTTAAATATGGTCGAAAAGGACGAAACGTTAGAAATAAATACATTTGTGATATAAATGAAGAATTTTATTGCTGTGTATCTTTTTTAGGATGGTTTAGTATGATGAACTATGATAAGTATGAAGGAAGGGTCTTTTTGATGATTGTTAATTAATTAATTTTCTTAGAAAAGGTCACCATTATTCCAAGCAAAAATAAAAATCTAAGTTGTAATCAAATACTTCTTACATCTAAGTTCGGTCAAAAGTTATTGAAAAAAAAAAAAAAGCGAGAAAAGTTCTTACTTCTACAGAATATCTCAGTTCTTCATTAGTAGTATTCTTTATTTTATGAAATAAATCTTTACAGATCTGGGGTATGATGCCCTCTTGACCTTCCTCGTCTTGACGCCCCATCATGGTGTAGGACTTCCCCGCGCCTGTCTGTCCGTATGCGAATATACAAACATTATAACCTATCCAACAGAATGAGCAATAATTAATTTTTCAAAATGATTCATGTATCACTTTGTAAATTAAACAAATCTTACCCTCAAAAGCATGTTGTAACATTTCTTCACCGATATCTCTATAAACCATAGTTTGTGTGGTGAAATTTGGATCAGTAGGCTACAATCAGAAAAAAATGGATGTTGAAAATTTGAAATCATAGATATGATAATTACATTTAATATATAAAAAGAATTAGTACAATTTTACTTACATCATGTGAATAGTAAGAATAATCATAATTGAAACTCTTGATTGCATCTTTTGTTCCTGGAGGTGCTTTAGGATTTGCAATTGCTATAAATAAATCATATATTTAAGTAATTCAATTAAAATTATTAAAAAATAATTATTACAAAGATAGATTTACATTATTTGTTTATTATAATTACTACAATGATTTAGTGAAAAAAATAAGTAAAACATAAATAAAGAACTTGTTTATTATTTATTTTCGTTTTCATTATTATAAACTAAGTTATATTTAAATTTCAGTGATTATCATTATCCGATTTCATCAAATTATCAGATTATCCTCAGCAACAAAAAGTTGATTCCAGCATCCAAGTGCTTTCATTTTATAATTAGTTAACATTTAATATAAAGACTCAATTATTCAACAATGTGTTTATGCGTCTTTGCTAATTTTTTTCGTGTACTTAATGAATTTCAATATAGTACAAATAGTAAAAATATTTTATATATTTAATATATCTGTGTTTGTGTGTGTGTGTGTGTTTGTGTCTGTTTCTCTAGAAAGGCTTTATAAAGTCGGGATCACGGGCGGATCTACGGGGGGGGGGCTTTCGGGCTGAAGGCCCCCCCCCCAAAATGGTAAAATATAATCATGTTTTATCGAAAAAAATATTAAAAAAGTATCTCTTAAAGTATTATTGTTCATGTAATTACATTTAAAAGGGCTTTAGGAATCACTTAAACACCATTTCATACAGGTAGTTAGTTTCTTTCTTTTTTTCCAAAGTAATTATCGTTATTTTTATGAAAAAAACAACTTTCGGGCTGAAGCCCCCCAAAATTAAATTCTGGATCCGCTAGTGATCGGGATTGTAGGGTTAATCAAATGGATTGTATGCGCTAAGAAACGACTGCCACATTCATGTCATATTTTCATTCTCAACGTCCAACAATGGATGTAAAAGACTTAAATAAAGTTTTGAAATGAGGCAGATCTGTGAAAAAGTTATTAAAGGTTAGAAGGTTAAGATCTTGTGATAAGAGAGTGGATAAATTGTAGGGCTATTAAGGGTGATGATTATTTTCCAAAGGAATATGCCAAGAAAAAATTGTCTACGGAAGAGCTACCCTAATTCAGTAGAAAATACGGTAAAAATTCTGAGTCCCGTTGGAAAACAGTAAAAAACTGTTCATAATTCTCTTCAGAAGATCATCGAAATCGAAATCCACCGAAAGATAACCGTTCAACGTTCTTCAGGCATCCGTAATCAAAGTGGAACAAGATAAACGAGGGCACTAAAGTCTGCGTGTAAATTTGGGCGGAAGATGGCGGAAGAGATGGAATAGTTTCAGGGTACTAACTAACCGTTGTGATATCCGTGCAGTGAGGTGATTCCGGAAGAAGTCTTGGTTTCTACGTAAAAGAATAATATATTTTTCCACCTCAAATATCCAAAGTCCACTTTATACATAATCGGGTAGTATAGGTCCCCTTTGAACGGATCTCACGAGCAATGGATTTTGATCGAACGAGGTATCAAACGAAAGAGAATTTCATGAATATGTGACATCTCATTTTGATCTTTAAATTTCTACAACTTTAATAAAAGTCATGTAAATGAAATTGGGAGGTTTCAAAAGTGGACGATTTGAGAAGGAATAAAGTGTTTTGAAAATAAAACATATGCACAGCATAATTCCTGGGATTCAAAACACAAAAATGTCCGTTTCGAAATAATTCGTATTAATGCCGAAAGCCTTTTAAATGCTATGGTTACCATAGGATACATCTCGCAATGTGTCTCTTTTAAAATTTAAAATATTATAAAGTAAAGTAAAGGCTATGTTTTTCACCATTTTTATTTTCCTTTTTGTTCTACATCGGCAATTGACCTTGTACATATTAATATATGTAAATTTGTTTATGCAATATTGTCATTCTATCTTTTATTTGAAGTAAATTGATTTGTGAATTAACTGAATGACTCAACCCAATTAGGGTTATGATTTATATAACGTTGGTTCTTAAGAAATGGCTAACATCACTATCATATTATGTAAAAAGCTGTCTTGTATTAAACTAATTACGAATTGGGTCTTATAGTTGGCTTGAAAATCGAAACGTAGCCGATGTAGAAGAAAAAGGAAAATAAATATGATGAAAAATTACAGCCTTTTTTGAAAAAAATCACCTAAAATATAGACGTACATGAATTTAAAATATAATAAAAATATGTGTTTCGCCATAGCATGTAATATTAGATTAAATAATTTAAAATATTGCTATTCGCCACAGCATGTAATATTAGATTAAAGAAAAAATAATTCAAAAGATGTTTTTTTCGTCATCCTCCTTCCTTCTGCAACTCTATTTTTTGATGTAATTTTTCTAAAATTCTCCGCTTTCGATATAACGATATATTATACGTATACCTTCTGACTTTTATTTCCAGAAATTCATTTTCGACCTGGATAAGCATTTTTCTTTTTTTCGCCTTGGTCCAGTAATCAAATTATTTCAAAAGGCATATTTAGCCTTTTTTAACAACTTCTAATATGAAGAGGTAGTTAGTTATTTAAAATAAACTAAATTAAAGGTACTTTGGAGGAAGACATTCTGAACATTGGGCATTTCAGCCCTGTAAACTGACATCAAGAGGGATAAGACCCAAATGATATTAAAGATTACTTAATTCTACATTAATAGACCGAGTTTAATATAAATATTCCGATATAATAAAGTGACACTTCCGGTTAGCCGATTTTAATGAAAAAGTTACTGTAACATCGCAGGTATATACCTGACGTAAATACCTGCTTTTAGTTTTTGAGCTAAACTAATAACATACACACAGACAAACAGACCTGGTTATTTGAACTGATATATCAGGAAACCACAAAACATGTTTTTCCGTTGAAAATATTGATTCGAAAATTTGCACGATCGCAATACTTTTCCTTACTATTTAATACACATATGGGTAAGTGAAAGTAAAATGAATATATTTTAAAATTGGTAAACGGATTTAGGTGGAGAAGAACCTTAATAATTTCGATTTGGTGAAAATAAGTAAAGAAAACATCTGGTGCGCGCAACACACAACATTCACTTACCGCTCTACTTTGAATAGAAATTATTTTCTGGAAATGGTGGGCTATTATCCAATTTCAACATTTTAAGAATTGTCATTTTAGTGATATTTCTAGTTGAAAAAGTTATTTATACAAACAGTGATTAAGTTTGTGAGTATGTGATTGCAGTGTTGAAATATAGAACTGTAAATAAAGGTATACATTTTAGAAACATCACTAAAATTAATAATAAAGAATGTTGAAATTGGGATTAGTCATGCTACCAACCGAAAGGCTCATATATGCTTAGAGAGGTTTAAAAGTATATCTGAATACTTGACCTAGAAATAATGATGGATTGCAGGACTCTTAGTTATTAAACTGTTATTCTTCAGTTCACTAAAACGAAATTACGAGATGTTTATTGCCTGCCACGGATAGGTCAAAAGTTGTCACACTAATTGTAAGTGGATAATGTTGGGATTTCACCAAAGCAAAATTCATCAAATTATAATTACAAATTTAATTTTCTAAAAGGTTACATAATGATTTTTCGGAACAAACGGACGATAGATACCAAATTATTTAAATATAATATATTATCTAGAGTTAATAATCTATGGTAAATATATTTTAGATTATAAATATATCCACGAAATATTTTTATATTTCATTTCTTCTTTCACACAGGTACAATGAAATAGTATTTTAAACAATGGCATTGCCTTGATTCGGTGGATCGTAAATACTTTTTTTTCAAACTTAGAAAACATTAAAAGTTTTATGAAATTATTACTTATAATTGTTTCGTCATTCTTGGTTATTTGGACTCAGGGGACCCCAAAACGTGTATTTCCGTTGAAAACTCAAATTAAAGAACGTTCACGATCGCAATACTTACCCTTACTATATATTACATATATAAGTAAGTGAACGCAATACCCTTACTATATATATAAGTAAGTGAAAGTAATAAAAAGGGTGAGACTTATTCCTGAGGCAGTAAAGAGGGTAACGGCTCGGCCAGGGCGGCGCCTACGATACCATTCAGGATGACGTAGTTGTATCGACGGACCGGCGGCCAACCCCGTCAGCCCTGCATTACATCTACCTACCTCTTTGTTTCAGTTACCTCTTTAGGTTCAATTATTGATTAGTTTAATTTAGTACTGTTTCACATAACAGAGCTTAAGTTTGACGGGTTAATGCAATTAAGGAAATAACAAATACAACAAGTATATATTATCACAATAGTTACAAGAAAAGAAACTTTTATGTTTTACATGTGTGTTTACCCACTTGATGTTAACCATGAGAAACAGATAAAACTTAAATATGGGTAATAAGTTTATAATTCATAATCAAGGTAGTTTGATTCAGTACACTGCTCTGATATTTTGTGAAGGATTTTCGGACCTTCATGTTTTTTCAACTTAAAAAAATTGAAATAACAATTAAATTTGATGATGCTTTCTTTTCCTGTTTACATTTAGCCTCAGCTCAACCGTACGCCGACAGTGAGCCAATGAGCCGAACACACAGGAAACAACAACACCTGAGGCATGGGGAAGGGCAGTGGCCAATAGGAACACTTCTCGCCTTGTTAGCCCCCAGGGGTGTGAAGGAGGAGCCATGTCGCTTATCGAACCGATGAGATGTGCATTTCCATCTGTTGGTATATAAAACCGTTGGTAAAGAGTCGTTATGTGTTGGCCAATTGTTACCATGTGGAAATAAGTATGTAGAGATTTGTTAGCCGTATGCCATGTTATTAGTTGTAATAATTTGGAAAAAAATTGGAATGACTGAAGTTTCTGCAGGTAAGTCTTTTCGGCGACACCGCATATCTGCGAGGAGAATTTTCATATGGGTTTAAATAAGTATATTTCAGCATATGTATTCAGTTGTTATCTTAGTTTCAGTAAATAGTTATTTGTTAAGGGTCTTTCGTTTCATTTTAACACGCAGACCCCATGACATCATTCAAAAATTAAAAAAAAAAGAAATGTGGTGCGCGCAACACAAAACTT